TGGGTAAAATACTGGACGAAGATCGCCTCAAAAGTAAAAAAAAAATTCGCACTATTATATCATGAATTAATATTGATATATTTTTTTGGCAAATTCAAAGTTACAAGGTACATGTTTTAGACTTAGTACTTTAATATGTCCTTACAAACAATGAAATGTAGTAACGTAGAAAACAAACAGTTTATAAAAATCTGTGCCAAAAATTCGTATCGAACATTCTGAAAAAAATAAAAATACACAGCAGCAATACAAATGCGGAATCACATTAGGTGTTTCATTTACCAAAAAGCGTCTTAAAATAAGATTAAGTTCTGTATGCTTTGTAGTTCAATTATCACTTTGCTGACCAACCCAGTGTCACAAACAAAATACAAAACTTTTTAACCACTTTTTGTAAGGTGGGAAAATCATGAAATGATCTCTGATGTCCTGGGTAGGGCGACAGAGTGTCAGACATTTATTATTGACTAAAAACCACCCCGTTCTTTCACCCGCAACGGAGGAGCTACGAGTGCGTTGCCGACGTTGTTGCGTTTAGGGGTTTGGAAATTTTGGGACTGGGGAGGGATTGGGGTAGGGGAAGGATTGGGCCGCGCGTAACCTCACACGGCGAAACAAAACGCGGTGGTTTTTTCACGCCGGTTTTCTGTGAGGCCACTCCTGCCTGCGGCCTGTGGTATCACTCCGGTCGAGCTGACTCATTTATGCCGAAGCATGGCTCTCCCACACTTCTGCTGCTCCTGCTTCAGGCTGAGGCCGAGGTATTAATAGATACATTAATGCGCTCGCACCTCTAATCAAGCAATTAATCATAATGCGCTACCTAATTACATTTATACGATTGTAATTTCATTAGTAATTAGTTTACGCCGGTATAGTCACGTACACCATAGATGGTTTTTAAAATTATGGAACAGTTATCTTGTTATTAGACATCGCACCACGGAGCGGGCCGCGAGCGCCTTAAAGAGCACATACACCACCATAGACGGGGCCCTATAGGGCGGATGTTCAGCCGGGGTTGCGGGGTAAGCGCAATGAGGCACCGCGACCTCGGCCCAGAGCAGGAGAAGGAACTGGGGGGTTTTTAGTCAGTAAGAGTCTGACCCGCCCGTCAGTCATTTGATGATTTTACCCTCACTAAAAACTCACTCAGCGCAACATATTATTCTATTAAAATCCTTGGCGGGCAAAAGTCACAAGGGCGGCCCTCAGTATTGGGGTTCCTTCACAAAACTATGCGGTTAGCAACCACCTTGGTTTGGCCCTAGTGTGATCGGGATCTTACTTACTTCTAATTAATATTCAGCTTATGGTTTCAACAATTAGTATTAATTTGATTATTCTTTAGTTAATTGCATTGCTTATTAGTTTTAATTAACAATTTTATTACAGTAGTACCAATTAACATTATAGTATTCATTCATTTATAGGAAATGAAAAAAATATAAAACATATTTTCTATTATTTTTTAAGTTATTAACGATATAATATTAGTAATATCTATAAAAACTAGTTTTTAAGTTGGTTATTTAAATGTATTTCTTGAAAAAAAACCGTTTTAGACGTTAACGGACGGGGCACAATGAAACAAATTTTTTTTTTTAAACCGGGAGTCTTTGAAGACGTAAAATTTTTCGCTTCGAAATACAACTGCTCCTGAATTGTACCAGTAATAAATCTATAAACAAAGTCTTTAAAAATACTTGATATTGTTAATTCAATAATCTCTAAGTAGGAGCCCGTGGTAGGATATCAAGACCACAAGACAATGTGGTCTGTGTGATGTCATCAACGCGCAAGTAACGCCATCTAACGTTTTAACACTGCGGTACCTTGATGTTTATTAAGGCTATGTAACTAGTTATGTATCTGTAAACAGTTTGTTGTGTTGTACATAGATGGAGCCTTTATTGAAATATTAAGTTTTTGTTTTTACAAAAGATTACCAGCAGTCAGCTAGACGAATAAGGTTTCTGTTCAATTTTCCTTCTTTTACTAATGGCATAGTTGAATCGAACTTTTATATTTTACTTCTTTAACTAGACAGACAGTTTAGAGTGTCTATACACAATGTATAGTGAGATCTATTCCGGATTCCTTACATTTTCTTATGATATTGATCGGCCAACGAGCAGATGGATTACCTGATGATAAGCACTCAGCGCCGCCCTTGGGCACTCGTTACACTGAGGAGTTAGTAGTAGTATAAGAGCGTTGTCAGACTTTTAGGAGTCATTAGCGATTAGGAGATGAGGAAGGTGGTGGAAGGATCGAGCCTATGGTAACCTCACTCACACGGGGAAACGCAACGAGAGTTTTGTTTCATGCCTTATTCTATGAGGCCATGGTATCACTTTTGTCGAGCCGGCACTATCGCGCATCGAGCATAGCTCTCCCACATTAAGTATATTATACTAAGGCATAGTATAAAAGCCTACCAACGAAAGAAAGTTAAAAAACCTTCAAATTTAAAAAATATAAGATGATGCATATTAAGAAAAACATTACCCGAAAACAAAGAGACAGGGCCATAGGTCATAAGCCCTTTCATTGAACCAGGAAGCTTGTTTACCCTTTTACATTTTTAATTCCTCGCCGAATGTATCGAGCCACGAATTATGGTGCTCCTTATGTTAAGTTCGACACTTCCTCAATGTGAGAGGTGAAAACTGTCGTCACTTACACTTCAAGCAAGTCTTTGTTCATCTTGTGAACAAGTTTTATTTTTGTTTACTTGCACGCACTGATCATACATAATAACATTTGGCAAAAAGAGTGCTGAGTTTAATGAAAACAAAGATGTGTCAAGAAAAGTATGGAAGATGGGATTAGGAGTTATAAAAAAATTTTTTGTAAATATTATTGAAATTATTAAATGTTATATTTGATATTTAATAATTTAAGGTGGGCGGATTTGAAGAAGTGGGCTAGTAGACTACCTATTATCAGTCAGTCACAGCTTACTAGCCTCAGCCTCATTCGGCGTTGCAGGGATAATAATGTACTACGCTCCTGGCTCGGAGCAGGAGAAGGAACGGGATGGCTTTAGTCAGATAGATTTAGATTCTACACTCCGTTCTACTACACGCCGCGCAGAGTGGATGAAGTTATTATTTTGTCCCCTTAAAAAAGTAGATAAGGATTCCTCCAGCCATAAAGATAAATATTGATACTCTCAGTAGCAACGTATTTAACCCTTTAAAATGTTGAGTGCAAGCAACAAATGTTTTTATTGTTACAATCATCATTACATCAATAGTCCACTGTTGGAGTCTACTCTATATGACATGGGTTCGCCATTATTCTACAACGGACGGGTGAGAGAATGCAGTTAAAAAGGTTCAGGTTTATCAGAGAGCTGCCCAGTCTATTTAAGATGCCCCTTCGTTCGCTCTTGAAAGACACATAATTGGTACGTTTGCTCGCCTGCCGGGACTTGGCAAACGTCCAAAGGCTCCAAGCCTTAAACACTCGCTTACGTGTAAATGCGTCGCAAACGCTTGTCACCAATTTCCTTTGATATATGTTCGTAAACCTACATCGGACCGGATCGCCGACAAGTTCTTGCAAGCTCATGCAAGCCACGCCGAAACCTTGTTCTCATACTTGTGTTTGTGAATGCTCGTCGTAAACATGGAGGAATAGTAGACGCATTTATGTTACTCTTCTGTAAATCCACGGCAAATGACACATATTCAACATACCGGAACTAACAATACTGTTAATAAATATAATTATGTTGTAAGAAACTGCAATCGTACGCACATTGTAACAAAACCATAACAAAACACGTCCAATAAGTAATTGTTTGTATATCTTCACGTAATTTGTCAACGTATCGCATTAGGTTTTTGATTATTTATTAATTATTATTAATTAAATCCTGACCACAGCGATATCATGTGATTCACGGTCCATTAAAATCTTCAGACAAGTGTAAACAATAATCTTTTTGAGATGGTTCAGTACAGACAGATCCTTCTTCAATATGATTTTATTTGAATTCTAATTACATCACCAACATTTCAAATTATAGCAAGCCAGCCCCAACCAATGACGGCGCATAGCGTACCGCGCGCCTCAAAGGATCATTAGAGCACCCCAGATGCCGCCCAAAATGGTTTATGTTCATGTTCAGACGGAGTTGCGGGTCAAGCAAAATAATGTACCACGGCTTGCCCTGGAGCAGGAGAAACAACGGAGCGCTTTTTAGTCAGCCTAACACTCACTTTTACCCTGGGCGAGAGACACCATTTGATGATTTTCACCGCTTCAAAAACAAAAGGCAACAATCAATAAGCATCTAAATAACACTATTATGGCCACTAGTTATCTTCTATATAAGTCACTATAAAATATTGATTGTGTTATGTTATGTTAATGAAATAAAGCAAATTAATAAATATAACTAGTTGCTATAATGCACACAAAGTGCAAAAACCGCGGCTCCAGCTCGGAGCAAAAGAAGGAGCGGGATAGTAAGTCTCTGAAACTTCTCGCTTTACTCAGAGCCACTCTCTGTTTCACCTCCCTCCTTATAAAAAAGGTGTACTTTAGATAAACAACTTGATGTATTCTATAGAAAAATTTGTTGGGATTGTTATCAAGACAAATTACTTAATTAGTCACTAATTAACTACCTAGCAAAGGTACAAAATAAAAAGGTTAATCAAATGGCCGATAAAAAATATCGCTTGATTTATTATTTCCCAGTTTATTTTACGATGTTGCTGTTTTATTGGTCGCTAAATATGATTACTAGACGTGGTTCATTGTTTTGGTTTAGTTAACGATATTTTGAAAAAAGAATTTAAGAACTAATGCGTGATTTTTTTTTCTAATTTTAATATCATAGCGGATCTCTAAAACATTCGATCTTTCTCCAACCTTTATGTGTTATCCGTAGGTTCATTATGAATGGTTCATTTGCTGTTAGCTGACCGCAGTATATATTGCAAGTGCATCGGTGATCCGACGCATTTATCGCGCCATCTTTGATTTAGTTTCTATCTTAATACCAGAATAACAAAAAAATGAAGGGGCTTGTAGTGATTTTTGTAATCTGTGTCCTGGGTGTGGCTCAGGGTAAGTATTTGCTAATTATTTTGATATCAATCTGGTAACCTGCATAATTATAGTGAGAAGCAAAATTAGTCAAGGGTTATCAAGGGGTATCCAAAGCTTCTAATAATTTTTATTAGTGTGTAGTAGTGTCGATTTCACTTTATTATTGGTATAGTGGCAGTTGACCATTAGATTAATGTACCGCGACCTCGGCCCAGAGCAGGAGAAGGGACGGAGTGGTTTTTAGTCGTCAGAATCTGTTTTACTCCACGCAGGGCGGGAAAAGCCATTTGAAGAATTTAATATCTCATTTAATAAACGAAAGTAAAATGAGTTACCGGATTCGTTTACAGCATTAAGCATTGCAACTGATTTTTTAGATAAAATAGTTTTTTTTTCGAACACGAAATTCGAATTCTTCGCTGCTCCTTCCACCTTGCACTACATTGCCTGTGCATTGTAATTGAATTTTTGTTGTCCAATAATATACACCTACCAAATCTATCTTTTTTTTACTTGATATAAACTAGTGCTTGACTGCGATCCCACCTGATGGTATGGTAAGCAGTGATGCAATCATTGATGGTAAGGCGCACTAGTTTATTAAGAGCATATTCACTCTAACCAAGCTAAGGTGTCTTCAAACACCTAAATTATATTTGGATGGAAAGACTGTAGCCGGCAAACTATTCCAATCCCTTGATGTACGCGGTCTAAATGATGAGGCAAAACGCTTAGTCCGGGCCGCAGGTGTCTCAACAACGTAAGGGTGAAAATTTGCCGTACGCCGGGATGTCCGAAGGTGAAATGGGGATGGCGGAATCAAATCGAACTTCCTGCGCACACTCTCCAAAATGCATCCTGTAGAACATATGTATTCAGGTGTAGGTATCTCCGTATATTCAGGTGCTTTTCTGAATCAAAAAGTCATTAGTAAAGCTATTTTTATATATTATTACTAATTGAGATTATAGCTGTATCCGCGAGGCGTTAATTACAAAATTCATTATGATTAGAAGTGGACGGTAGTATTTACTGAAGAAATAGAAGAAACGCTAATTGATTACATCATTACCTTTCTGTTATTGTTTGAGTTGCTACTTTAAATAAATCTGGCTTGTTGGGAAATTATGCTTCTTGCTACCTAACTAATAAATAGCTTCACTAAGAGGACTGACCGAAAGAACTGACACTTTATATCTTTAAAATTTTGTTTGACGTTCAAAAGTGCCTGTATGGGTCTAATTGTAATAAATGATTTTGACTTTTAACCTTTATTAGATAGATTGTCGAACTCAAAATCGAATAATTTATTTTAATACAGACGTTTTTGGACGTGTCACAAAGATAAAAATAGATGGTTCACCAGTGAAGCTATTCGTTCGTTCTAGAGAAGAATGAGCAAAAACATGCATGGTAACTCTTTTTTACGTGGTCACAACCCTCTCGGAGGTTAGGGATTCGAGTATTGGGAATCGGAAGGAAGAGAGCAGAATAAGACAATAATTTAAAGGATTGGCCATTGTGGGGACTGCAATAGAAACAAGCTGTTCACATAGCCACTAAAATACTTAGCAGTTTTAAATATATCGCCGATGTTAAGTCCGTACTTTTCTTTAATAGGGGATAGTCTAGATAGATAGATATTACACGGTGGTACCTACGAAAGATAGTGTGAAAAGAAAAAAAGGGAAGCGAAATGGCGAAAGTGACCTTATTTTTCTAGGGTTGGCTCGGGAGGGAGTGTCAGACTCTTACTGAATTAAAACCCCCCCGTTCCTTCTCCTGCTCTGGGCCGAGGTCGCGCTTAACTCGCAACCCCGGTTGAACTATAGAGCCCCGTTTGTGGTGGTCTATTGGCTCTTTGAGGCGCGCGCGGTACACTTGGGTCTGGTTCTGGTCGGGCGGCAAGCTACCCTTACTCGCCGTCTCTCGGTTCCCGACGCCCGGAGTGTTGCCTGCTGCGGCGGCTGGGTCGCGAGGAGGAGGATTGCTCCCTCACGCTGTCTGCCTCCCTCTTTGCGAGCATAACTGCTTCACAGAAAGAGGAGACGGCGTCCCAGTTCCTCTCGTTCCGCACCATGGCATCGACTTAGGCCGGGAGCGAGAACACATACCTACCTCAACGTTTTATCATCCTTATGGACCTTTTTTAATAAATCAAAGCAAGTAGTAACTAGCTACGTACAAAGGTGACTTATGGTCGTAAACCATAATATACGGCCAATTATAAGTAGTTATGTCATAAATACCTTGTCTTTGACCAGTACTGCCATCTGGCGGCTGTCCATGTCCCACATTATATTCTATACATAATTCAATAATTTATGTAACTAACTCGTCAAGTTTAGTAGTTCAAAGTGATTTTTCTTACGTCATTGCTATCATTGTGTGCTGATAACAAACGATGTATAAGAACGTCATAGGTGTAGTTCCCCGGAAAATATTATTTTTGTTTAGAAGTAAATTTTTACGGTCTACAAATAATCGTTCTTTTGTGAAGAATATAGCAGTTAAGTGTGGGAGAGCCATGCTTCGGCACGAATGGGTCGGCTCGACCGGAGTGATACCACGGCCTCACAGAAAACCGGCGTGAAACAACCACATGTTGTGTATCGCCGTGTGATTGAGGTTACCGGTGGCCCGATCCTTCCCCTCCCCCAATCCCTCCTCAATCCCTAAATATCCAAATCCCTAATCCCTAAAAGGTCGGCAACGCACTCGTAACTCCTCCATGGGCGGCGCTGATTGCTTACCATCAGGTAATCCGTCTGCACGTTTGCCGACCTATTACATAAAAAACTAAAATGATGATATAGATTTTAACATTATGGGAAGATATCAATCCTGCCGCCCCTTTTTTCAAACGATGTTTTAGATATAAGTTTACCAACAACTTAAGACTAGCTAATTGTAACTTAACAATAAACTGCCTTAAACTTAAATTTATAATCAAAATTTTTTTCAAATTACAAAATTAGGCGTCTTAGTCTAACTTCGTATACAATATCGAGGTAAACACAATTTTAGCAACTTTATATTTAGGCTATATTAAGCCAAGACAATATTGAACATTCCAAAATCCACTGCCGAACGGGATTAAGGTGTGAAAAGCTATTTCTATTTAAGAAAATTGGAAAGTAGCATTTCCAATCATTCAGTGTACGAATTGCCGAATTCGTATTATAAGTACATAGTTACTTACCTTTAAAAGATACAATGTATCATTCAAAACTGTGTTCATTCCATGTCCCTTTAAGGTCTCCAATGAAGTCGCGAGTCAAGCGCAATAAGACACTTCCTCGTCTTTAAGCAGGAGAAGGAACGGGGGTTTTTAGTCATTTAGGGGAGAGAGAGTATAGTTCTCTAATTTTGGAAAAAGAGGATCCTCCGACCAGGCGGGGTATTCGTGCCTTCGGGGCACGGGGATCAGTCGGGGGATTTTTCTATAGGTGCCTATTAGTGCGTAAACTTCACTTGCGCGATGCAGAACCTGTTACGCCATCTGTTGAATATTATCGTCCATCTATATGAGTCGCCACAGTCAATAAGAGTCTGACACAGACAAAAACAAATGACTACCCACAAAAGAAAGTCTTGAAGGAAACTGTAATGTATTTTCCAGGAGGGTTCATCACACCATGTAAACAAGAAGATACAGCGTGCCTCAAAGCATCAGCACAGGCGGCGTTGCCATTACTAGCTGCTGGTGTACCAGAAATGGGCATATCTGTGATGGATCCCATGCATGTGGATCAGGTTAAGACCGTGGAAGCTGGTCTCGCCATGGACTTCCGAAATACATACGTGAAAGGATTGAAGAATTGTAAGGTGTTGAAGTTAACGTGAGTATTCTGTTATTTATTTGATCCCTCTCTCTCTTTCTCTCTAGGATATTTTTCTACTTTCTGGTTGAATTTATAAATACTATTTTAGCATGAACACCACATGCAAGCTTGAAATAACAATTTATTTGTAGTAAACACCTAGGTACAAAGAATTTGGTTATAAAATTGTTCATAATTATAGGAAGGATTTTTTTAATATAAATGTTATTGGAATTTGCAAGGTAAAATGTAACCTGTGTGCTATTTTAGTTATTATAATATATCTCTATGCCAAGGATCCCTCAAATAGTTTTTAAGAGAAGAGTCACACACATCCATCCATCCATTCATTTATCTATCGAGACTTACAAACTTTTGAATGTAAGTGTATGTACGTAATGTCTCTTTTTGTCAATTATTATTTGTGAAACTGAAATTATATTTTTCGTCGACTTTTCCTTTCGTTAAATTCTTTCTACGTCATCACACCACACGCTTAGCACGTGTCTAGCGTTCACTGTAAGAGAAGGTTCAAAGATTGTTCCAAAATAATTATACATTCGACTTTAAATAGTCTTTTAAACACTACGCCAAAGTTCAAATTTATCAAAGTACTGACGTAGACATGCTTGCAAAAAAAAAATGTAATGATAGATAAGTAATGTAGTTGCGAAATGCATCGTTTTTTTTTTAACTTTTTTTTGTCTTTAACTACAAGATAGAATACTGAAACCTATAGTTAGGGTCAATTTTACAGTATTCAAATACTTAATAATGTAATGAATATTTTCCTCAATTACTGTACGACAGTTTTGCAGTTTTTTCCACAATTTCTTATGAAGTAATTATTATTGTTATTTATATTGATAGCTTAACTGAAAAAAGACGTTTTTTCCCACGGAATAATAACATGATAAATCATTTTAATTATCTAGTACACAATTAGAATTTCATATAATTCCTTTAAATGGGCGATTGGTGTAGAAAAATTACACTTTTTTAGTCTATGTAGAAGAATTTTATTCTCGTTTGCGTACCTACAGGTTCCTTTTTTTGCAATATTTTTATTATCTGTTTAAAGTAAGTCGCTACTATATAGGTAGAAGTACCTATGTATAATATTTTTTTTTTTTCGAGTAGAAACCATTCAGTTCCTTCTCCCATCCTGAGTGGGGTAAGAGGGAGTACCAGCCTCAGTATATCATTGCGCTTACACCCTCAACCTCGGCCAGGCATTGATGCTTAGTGAGGTCCATCGGAGATGATCGTTTTTTTGAGACGCGATTAGTTTCTTCTTCTACGAAGAAAATAGGCGAGTTCTCACATAATCAAACCAAATATAAAATAATGTATCAAAGAATCTTGATGTGAAACTGATTTAAAAAGAGTAACTATGGAGTCTCTTGCTCGTTCTTCTCCATCGGAATCTACACTTTGGAACGAGCAAAAAGCTTCACTAAGAGGACTCACCAACAGACTGACACTTTATATCTTTAAAATTTGTTTAACGTTCACATTCTACAATTTTCTCTTCTGCAGGCGTCATCCCCACCGGACAGACCTGGATCTGAAGTGCTCAGTCACCATGGACGGTGACTATACATTAGGTGGCAAGCTTCTCATCATGCCTATCGAGGGAAGCGGGAAATATACTATTAAGATTCGTGAGTTATTTATCTTATAGAATTCTTTCTTCATCCGTTAAACTATCTAATTAATCAATGAATACCATCGTGTACCAAGAACAAAATGCATGCATGTCTACTATAAACTTGTGTGCTAAAATATTCATGTATAGCCTAGTCTAATTCTCTGGCCACCAAGTGTGGAGTAGCTGTAATAAGGTAGGAAGAAAAACTGAAATCGTCTAGGCAAATGTAGTGTAGGGCGCTCTGCAGCTAGATGGATTAATGATATCCGCAGGGTGGCTGGCAGTGGTTGGGTGAGAAGAGCTGAACATCGAACGTAGTGGAGAGCAATTGAAGAGGCCTATATCCAGCAGTGCACGGAGTCAGACTGATGATGATGATGAGATGAAATTTGACATTATTTGCTCGATACATACAGATGCAGAATTATTGAAACACCTTTTCTATCTGGAAGGACCATATGAGTAACATCATAAACGACAATTTTAACCGAAAATTCCATTATTTTTAAAATCAGTCAATAAATGAGCAGACGGGAAACCTGATGGTAAGCAATCGGCACCATCCATGGAAGAATAAAGCAAGCAAGGAACTACAAAGGGGTTACAAGTGCATTGTCAACCTTTGTGGGTTGTTAGGGATATAATCCCTAAGGGGGATATAATCCCTAAGCCGAGGGGAGGAATGAGTCTCTGGTAGCTTGGATCACACTGCTAAACCCACCACTTTGCCACACTCAGCTTTGTTTTGAGGTCGTGGTTTTACTCTTTGCCAGCCCATTTGTGCTGAGGCTCTCTCACGATTATTCTTCGCCTTAATTCCTCTATTCTTTATGTTACAGGAGGTATAGTGGTCAAAATTCAATTGAATGTGGAAGAGAAGACTCGGGATGGTGATAAGTACTGGGTGGTGGACAGTTGGAAGCATGTCGCTAACGTGGAAAAAGGAGTCCACTTCAAGTTCCGGAATTTATTTAATGGAAACCGTCAGTTGTGTGAGTATTACTATAATAATAGTGATATTTTCCCTATAAAACTATTGTGTTAGGAATGATTTAACATAAGCCTTAACAAATACGTTACAATAGTAATTTCACATATTATTTTCTTCGGGATAAACGGGTAAAACGCAATAAGTTATCGTATTTCTGACTCGGCGTAGGATTTGGAACGGAGTAGTTTTTAGACAGTTGTTTATACGCGCACGGTAACGCGGTCTTTAAATTAAGCATGTCCGTAAAATGCGTATAAATCGTAACACGTTCTGAAGACGGGATGAGTCGTTTGATGAAAACCCCCTTTAAAAGTCAATAAAAATTCAATTGAGCTTATCATTCTTGATAATTAGATTGCATTGTAAAACTACCTAGCTACTCGCTGTCCAGCTCCTGTAGGCAGTTCGTAGCGTTTGTCGATATTTTATAGCACATAGCATTGAGGAACGTTGTTGCTATCTACCAGTGAAAGAATGTTGGAAATCCGACCAGTACTTTCAAAGATTACCCCCTACATAGATATGCTCTTAAACTCGTAACACAGATATTTACTACTACTTATTCGAATATTCAGTAATCATCAACATCAATCATTATAATCACCAATGGACTAATAAACCTTCTTAATTCATGAATAGGACTAAGGTCAAGTTTCACAGTCCTAACTAATAGTAATCTAGATACTTTTAAGTAGTTTTTAATAATCGTAATGTAATCTGAACATAAATCATAGATGCCAATAAAAATAATTATTCCTTTTTTTATTTACAGCGGATGCAATCCACGAGTTCGCCAATCAGAACTGGCAAGATATATTCCAAGAGGTGGCGCCACCTATCGTCAAGGCGATCGTGGCTAAGATTGTCGCAGAGACGACAAAATTATTCGACCACGTGCCTATTAAAGATTTAGTCATACAATAGACTGTACATATTATGTATATACCCATCCACACTGTACATATTATGAGAAAATAACGATATAAAAACTGATATATTTTAAATACATTTTCAACTGTAAATTTGTTGAGGTAACGTTGAAAATTGCTTGAAAAACTGTCAGCTTAGTATATTTTCATATGGTGGAGAGACCTGGTTATGATTATACGGTATTAATTTATTCAAAAAGTCTTTTTTTTTTGTTACAAGAGACCTTACAATGGGTATATTAATTGCCTTGAACTTTTACCCTCGAACCTACGTAGGTACCTGTGTTTCTGTTATGCTCTGCTAAGTTTAATAAACCTAATAACAAACACGAGGTTAAATCGTTACCGGTATTGTACTAACCTAACCATTCTCGAGCAAATATACCTAACTATTACATTGATATATTCACAAAACACTAAAACAAAAATACAGCCAAGTTCGTGTTAAATGTAAGTTTGTACTAACATATTATATCTTTTGACACAGAATTAAGACACACCATTTTGAAGAAAGAAGATTCTAAGATAATTTGTTTTATATATAAATCAAAATGTTGCACCCATCGACCTCAAAGCCGGGGTTGTGGGATAAGCGCAATGAGGCACCTCGGCTTTAGCCTAGAGCAGGAGAAGGAACGGGGGTTTTTAGTCAGTAAGAGTCTGACACTTCCTCTCGCCGCACCCTGGGCGGGAGAAGTCATTTGATGATTTTCCCATGACAAAAAAAACTTTTATAATTTATTAATAAGTCAAAATGTTGCACCTAACTTCGAATTCAAACTACAAAGCTATGTTGTGCAACCTAGGCTTTGATCTTTGCATCTCATCTCTATAACTGGTTTCAAACAAAACTTGAAAATAATGGCAAGTTCAAAATCATAACCTTGAGATGGCAACACCACAACAATAAAGGAGGCGAAGGATTTTGCAGATTATATCTATGCACATGACCATCAAAACACGACGAGTTATTTGTGTCAATTACATATTTTAATGTTTAAATTATTTACTCTCAAGCTAGTTAAAATAAGCAACTTAAATTGCAATCGCTTTATTGTACCAAACAAGTTTATATTACCTGTCGTCTACCTACGTCATTTTGTGAAATCTTACGATTAGCTACTCGTACTACCTGTAATTAAAAAGATTTTTCCAGGCAGCAGACTTCTTAAAAATACGATACCCAAATCCTGCATTTTCTCTTGTGTCAATCGGATACATTACACCAAGACCCACAACACCAAGTTTTGGATTACTTACACAATGAATTCCGTGCGTGAATTGAATCAACTACACGTTGCATTGTAGCCGGTTGTCCAGCCACGGCGACCACTGAGTGAATAACAACGAATTAAATGGAAATAAACATGGAAATGAGAAGATGGATGGATTGCAATAATTAATTTAAATGAAAAACAAGAGGCGCTTTATCTTTAAAAAGTACATTTCAAATAATTTAATTTCTCAAATTCTCATAATGTTAATCTTGTCAAAACACTAGCGTGCCCCCGATGATATTTATGACTTCTTATTCTTATGATTAAGTACTGTGGTTAGGTATTATTACGTAAGGAGATTTCAGAGAAACTTATGTCACTTGTGTACCTACATGTAAATATTGACTAATAATACTGTTATGTATGTCTGTATATAGTAAGACATGAGACGTTCGTGTAAAAAACTTTATAACCATACTCTATGGATTTAACAGAAGTAATGAGGTTTCTTAGTAACCATTAATTGTTTATTGCTGCGTGTTAACGTGAATGAGGGCTGTACCTGCTGTACAATAAGGATAATATTTACACCTGTCTCTAATTTAACGACAAATTCAATTGCAAGTTCCTTGTAAGGTAGGTACGTACTATATACTATAGGAAAACAAATATTTATTCATTTGTTTTTTTGTTCTAAATCTAAATTCAATTCTGGCGCGGCGTTATCATGTCTATGAAGAAATCTAACAATTGTTTTTTATACCAAATAAGTATTGAACTGTTATAAGTATATAAGGCTGAATTATCTTTACTAATCTGAGTTTTATTTTACAAAATCCTTATGGTGGTCCATAATTGGCGCACTTACTAATAAGAAGAAGTAAGTAATAAACGGAGAAATTTTGCATCAATATTGTACGGTGTACCCGTGCGAAACTGGGACGGGACGCTAAAAAAATGAACAATTACTGTATTTATCTAGATTTAAAATAAATTGAATTAATTTTATATAAAACATTTAATATTCAACAGAAGTCATAAAAACCACTCACGTATAAATATCAAACCTAAGTCTGTACAAATAATTTAAAATTGCATTATTCGATCAACTAAAACTGGGGAAAACCCACTTAAACGTGCAAACAAGTTTATTTGAAATTTAGAAAGAACGCAGTACCTAGATCAATATCGTAAACGCATTGAAGAGATGCGTCACCATCAGACAAAATAAACAAATGCCTTAACCAATGACCACTCGATTTCAGATAACCTTAAAACTACATATTTTTGTCTTTAAAATGAACCTTGAAGTGGCAGAGACAACACGAGACTTTGATTCTGTATTTTTAGACAAAAAATGTCTACGTGTATAAATGTATAATAATTAAGTAACTTTTTATTGTTATCAATTTTAACAGTAGCTCATATGTGTTTCGCTGTGTGAGTGTGGTTACCGGAGGCCAAATTCTCCCCTCCCTTAATACCTCCCCAATCCCTAAATCACCAAATCCTTAATCCCTAAAAGGTCGGCTACGCAATCGTAACTTTGCATGAGCGGCGCTAATTGCTTACCATCAGGTGATTCGGCTGCCAGTTCGCCGACCTATCACATAAAAAATGCAACTGAAACGTAATCTAGTGAGTTTAAATAAAACTTTAAATGAAGCGGTAACGGTGTTTTCACTACTTAAGCGTTTTCTTAAAGTAATTGTGCAGTAGTGACTTAGGACATTAATGCTATTCTTTTTCATAAGTCAGTATTAAAATCAAATTAATTAGGTTCTGAAAATCACTGACCACCAAGTAATCCGAAAGCTCGTTTGCCTCCGATTCCGTAAAAAAAACTTGACCATAGACGTTTTCAAGAAGGAAAAAAATAAGTTTTACTTATAAGAAACAAACTTTTTATCTAGCACAATGGTTTATTTCAAATTAAAGCCTGAGTCACAACTTATTAAAATGCTATATGGATGCGATTATCAAGAATAAGTGGATACAATAACTACTAGGTATAATATGTACCTAAGTAGGTTTATGTAGGTATAGCAACGGAAACTATTATAATTATTATGATTACAATAAAAGAGAATAAGGTTTTATTGTGGTTCAGATTTCAAGAGCAAACACTTAAATACGTGTAAATAGCTGTGTTTAAACCTACTTCATAGTTATGATTACAGTAACAGCAATTAAGTAGATGTTAATGCTGTATTATTTTTTGAACAACCCCTTCATAACTTCTCGTAAACGGCTTTTGGGGATTTGAGTTTCGCAGATGTTGTATTCAGATTTGAATTTCGGTTTTTTTTAACGTTGCCCTATACCTTGGTTCTGCGAACGGCGAGTAAGGGTAGCTTGCCGCTCGACCAGAACCACGCTGCGCCTCAAAGAAAAGACCACACCAGATGGGGCCCTACAGGGCTGATTTTCACCGCGGCCTCAGCCTAAAGCAGGGGTGGTATTAAGCCAGTAAGAGTCATTTGATTTTATTCCCCTGACGAAAAAACACTAGCATTTCTCCTTTGTCATTTTTTTAAGTCTTAATTTTATATACTTAAAGGGCTTTTTTCCAATCTCCTTTGTCATGGTTTTAAAAAACATGCGATTTCATACATCCATCATACTTGGACCCGCAACAACATTTTGTGGATTACGCAAAATGTTGTTCCACGTAGGAATTGAATCCGCGGCATGTTGCACAGCATCTAGTTGCCTAACCAGTACGCCAATTGTGCAGTCTTTTCAGATTGAGGAGGAATCGGGGGAGGGGAAGAATTGGGCCTCCAGTAACCTCACTCACACGGTAAATGATGTGATTATTTTTTATCTGCCTATTGTCATGGACCCTATCCAATGCCAAACCCAATCCGGGTATCAAATAAGGGTCAACTGTCGCCTTTCCGACTACTCCATTGAGTCAGAGTATATAAAATTATGTATTAGAACATAATAATAATAAGTATAACGGCGAGTACTTGCATAGGCACAACCTTGTAGCCAGGATCATACATCAGCAGCTTGCTCTGAAATACTCTCTTGTGGAATCGGAAGTGCCGTACTACAGGTATGAGCCCGACCCAGTCCTTGATAATGGTCATATCACCTTGTACTGGGACCGGTCTATCATCACTGACAGGACTATTGTGGCCAATAAGCCTGATATTGTGGTGGTGGACCGGAAGGAGAGGCGTGCAATGATTGTTGACATAGCCGTCCCACATGACGAGAACCTTGTGAAAGCCGAGAAAGATAAACTGATCAAGTATATCGACTTGGCACGCGAGGTTGTCGACATGTGGGAAGTGGATTCAGCTATCATTGTACCGATAGTCGTGTCAGCCAATGGCTTAATAGCCAAGAGGCTCGACCAACATCTTAGGAGGCTCTCGTTAGGTGGCTGGATCAAGGGCTTGATTCAGAAAGTGGTACTCCTGGATACGGCTCGTATTGTCAGGAGGTTCCTTTCACTGGAGCCCTGACCGCCGGTAACTTGGACCCAGTTCCCGATACCGGTGGGACACTATTTTTTATATTTTTAAATGTTTTTTATTATTTATTTTTAAGAAATATATAAAAATGTAATTTATATGTTTATATGCTGAATAAAAAAAAAAGCTAAGTATATGAATGTATATAAATATGCCTTTATTCAGAAGATATACCTAATAGATCATTATAGCATAATTATCACTACATTAATCTTTATACATCCATTGTGTTTCCAAATATTTTACAAAAAATTACATTAAAATAAAATAGAACCATCATTATTACTAAAGTTAAGAGTGGACGTGAAGACAGACATAGAACTGATGATGATAATGATGATAATAATATCACTACATAGTATAAAACAAAATCGCTTTCACTGTCCCTATATCCTTATGTATGCTTAAATCTTTAAAACTACGTAACGCATTTTGATGCGGTTTTAGCATTGCACCCGTGCGAAGCTGGGGCGGGTTGCTAGTTATTCTATAAAATAATAAAAACAGAAATAAAAAAAAAGTATTATACTTGTATTTGCCGTTGGCAGACGAAAGGCAAGACTTATACTCACCATTCATAAACAAAAGACATTTTTTTTTCACCTTTAGATGTTCACCAGATCTTCAGATTCACGCATCGCTTAATTCAATTGTACATATGTAATAAGTAAACTATGTAATAAGACATAATAATGATACATAATGTTAGATTCTTGGAATGACTATAAGGTATGACGTGTTAACCAAAGTGCGTAGACTATGTGCAAACGTGCGTAACGACACATACATAGGTGCAAAATTCTTCACTGACTATTTAAATTGGACATTCGTTTATTTAAAAAATGTCTAACCAAAGCATATTGTGTACATCCTACTGATAGGAATAAAATCCTACTAAGCGAGGGCGGGCAACACTAGCCCTACGCCATTTTATGCACCCCTTCTCTAGTTCGGAGCTGTTAGAGAAAATAAAAAAATTATTATTAAAAAAACAAAATACCCGACTGCACACTAAAAAAAGAGTAAAACAAGCCCCACAATACAAATTTACTGAATATTATTTATAAATGTTGATGGAAAGCATCGCAGGCGGGGACCAACAGAGGCTTATTTATAGTCATTTCTGTTGTGCACCATTTAGCAGAATTTTCGTTGGTGGCGGTCAAGGTGGTCCCCGCCTGCGATGCTTTCCATCAACATTTATAAATTATATTCAGTAAATTTGTATTGTGGGGCTTGTTTTACTCTTTTTTTAGTGTGCAGTCGGGTATTTTGTTTTTTTAATAATAATTTTTTTATTTATAACTTTTTAGCTGTATGCCAGGCCACGCCCTATCTTTTTACTTGCTAACGCATGAGTTGCTTTGCGTTGACGCAGAATTAACATGTTCCCGTGGGAATTTTGAGAAAAAACGTATCCTATATTAATTACTCCCGTGATTGAAATGAATCTAATGATACCGCATACATATTTTTTTAAAGGGAAATTTAGAAAAAATATTATTATGTCTTTATCCCGTGGGACTTTTAGGATAAAATGTATCCTATGACACTCCCGTAATCAAGACAAATCTAACGATACCTCATACATCAAAATCCATCAAGCCGTTTAGGCTACAGGAGGTCACAAAGGAAAAGACATACTTACATACACTCGAAAAACATTACCCTCCTTCTTTGGCAGTCGGGTAAAAACTGTTTCACGCGCTTTTGTTTGTACTGTAAAGCCGATTCCTTAAATTATAATTGTCTATTCATTAATATCTTGTAATATTCTTGTTAAAACTACTAAAAGATGTGACGTATTTTTAGGAAGAATTTGGTCTTTTCTTAAATGCACGAGATGGATTGGTGCCTGGCGTATTAAGCTGATTGGGAGACCTTTGTTGAGCAGAACGCCTTCCGGCTGATGATGACGAAAACTTTTAGGGAAAGGTTATAAAAAGTTGAACTGTTTTACATTTTGTAAAAACCTACCAGGAAAACATTTTCATGCCTTTACTAGTCATTGTAATTTTAGCATATCTACAATAACAACTTATTAAAATTACTCTACTTTATTAAATTAATGCAAAGTGCAGTTCTGTTCAAGCAGCGGATTGTTTATGGTCGCGGTTCAAATTTCAAGATCAAGGTGAGGCCAGCGTGTTGTGATTCGAAGTAGTCGCTTGTGTACGTTAAGGGGAAGACTGTATAACAGATAATTATATGAATTTTCATTTTTAGACATCGGTTTTTTGGAGATTGTCAATGGCTATTAAAACTTTTTGTGAAATATGTTTTAAAACTTGCGACATGTCTTGTTATTCACCAATACAGCTATCAGGTTCTGTTAAATACATTATTTTAATAAACATTTTGCCTAATGGTGACTACATTTCGTGCTAAAACGCTAAGTGGCACTGACATTCAAAGTGCCAATTATAATAAATCGCTTTAGGTAGGTTGACAGGTAGCATAAGAGATTTGGCATTGTAATAGACTTCTTATGCAGTTCATAGTTCATTGTAATAAAATTTTTAGGCATAGGTACTTATTTGCTGTATTATTTTAATCAAGGAAGCTTGGGCAACAAATACATTGCAAAGTATAGTTGAACTGTTTACGTTGTACCTGCACAGAAATAACCATAAGGAAAGTCTACAAAAAATTTACATATTTAAGCTGTACCACCCCTTAAAACTAGTAAGAACACAGAGCTCTGACAATAAGCGTATGACGCGAATCCGTGCGTACATCTCATATAAGTGTCGTCCCGTTGCGACCGTCACCAGAGTGCCGCAGGAGTTGATTGTGACAGGAGTGACCCGAGTGCACCATGAACGCCTACTTGACGTACCTCTCTTTCCTCGCCGTCATTTTGGGCGCGAAATCCGCATCGGGTAAGTGGAATGGGATTTTAAATTTTTAAATCTGGAATTTGAGTTTTTTTTTTTTGATAGTGTTTTTTATGTATAAAGTTGTGTTAGTAGTTATATATTGTATTTTGAACAATGCAGGTTATATGTAATATAATTATTGATTATAATTAATTATTGCATTATGGCAAAATCTTTAGGATATAAAGATATGAGGAATTAATGAAGTTAATTTAAATCAGATTTCTCTAAATTACGTACCTGGAACACATATAAGTTAATTAAAAAAATATATTTATTGCTTGAGGATTGCATATGCCACACACGTATAGATACGAATCTATGTCCTCAAATCCGAACAACTACGATAAGATCAATATTAAGTTCTGCTCATTAAGTAAGCAATCTTCATAAAAGGTGATCATTAGTGGGCTACACGTGTTTTCTCAGTAACTAACAAAATAAATCGAAAACATTAATTTCATTTTTAAACGTCCAAATACTTAGAATTGTATTATAGTAATACCAGCCAGTCTGTTTGTCCATGAAAATTAAGTAGGTGCACGTTCCAAAGTGTAGATTTGAATCGAGAAGAACGAGCAAGAAATTCCTTAAGACTTTTGACGTTTCAAAAGTACCTATTTATGGTTTAGTTGGAATAAATTATTTTGACTTTGACTTAATTAGTTTGTGGCCAAATTCATAATTCACTGTTCCTGAGGAAAACTATGAGACACTTACCTACATTTCGTGAATAAATATATGTCAATGATTAAAATATTTTGTCATCTGTATTTACAATAAATTAGCTACGTTCACAACTTTTTCTCTTTTACTGTATAGTATCGACTGGGCATCGAGCTGCTGTGCAATGTGTCGCGGGTTCGATTACCGCAGGAAACAATACTTTGTGTGATCCACAAATTGATGTTTCGGGTCTGGGTGGCTTGCGTACGTTTATAAAGGCACCTACGACAAAAACAGAAAAGCTAAGTGAGGGGAAAAGTTTTCTTCTTTTAAAGAAAGAAAATTAAAATTTCATCTTAAATATTTTTCTTTCCTCAGCTCCCTTTATCAAGCCATGCAAGTCCGGCGACAATGCGTGCGTACTTGCGTCGGCGCAGATCGCTGTACCAATCATGGCGGTCGGGATCCCAGAGTTGGGCATCAAGTCGCTAGACCCCATGAGGTTTGACGAGATCAAGGGGGACCAGGCTGGGTTGTCTCTGACTTTTAAGGACACGACGGTGACTGGAATGAAGGGGTGTACCGTTGATGGTGTTAAGTAAGTACAGTTATATTACTCGTTTTTGTTATGGTTTATTAATAAGTGTGGGAGAGCCATGGTGTCCGGAACGGAGTTATACCGGGTCCTAGCAAAATACCGGTGTGTTAAAATATTTACGTTGTGTTTCGCCCTTAAATTAAGTGTGGGAGAGCCATGCTTCGGCGCGAATGGGCCAACACGACCGGAGTGATACCACGGTCTCCCAGAAAACCGGCGCGAAACAACCACAGCGTTATGTTTCGCCGTGTGAGTGAGGTTGCCTGAGGCCCAATTCTTCCCCGATGCCAAAATCTCTAAATCCGTAATCCCCAAAACGTCGACAACGTATTCGTAACTCCGCCGTTGTTGCGGGTGTCCATGGGCGGCGCTGATTGCTTACCATCAGGTTATCCAATAGTGCGTTTGTCGACCTATCACATATAGAAATATGGGTCCATACACTGTTAAAAAACAATCAGATCAAAAAAGGCACCTATTGTTTGGTGTATTTGTAGTTTTGTACTCATGTTTAGCAATTAGCGACAGTAATTTTATTGGTAAACTAGCTACACTCGCGCGGTTTCACCCGCTGCTCGGCTCCATTTGATCGTAGCGTGATGTTTTATAGCCTATAGCACACAGGAACATTGTAGCTACCTATCAGTTAGAGGATTTTGGCAATCCTGCGGTTGCAAAGATTACCCCCTACATACAAATTTACAAATTTTACCTCTTTATAATATTAGTATAGGCTAATGCCTATACTAATACGTATTACTACTAGTACGGAATTATCCGTACACAATATTGAATGGGTAAGTACGGACTGAACATAATTTTATGAATAAACAAATAATTTCTTTACTTTATCACTCTCCATTCTCACTGGGTATTTATTTAAGAGCAACCACTGCTGTTGTACTCATAACTTCAATATGTACGTTAGTGATTGACAATAAGTATACCTGCCAATGTAGGTATGTGTGTAGGTACCTACGTTTCTAAAAGTCCAAAACAAAACGCACTTAAAATGAAAGAAAACACATAATTTACAAACACATCATCTGCCTTTAAGTGCCCACTGCTGAGCAAAGGCCTCTTCTCACACGGAGAAGGTTTGAGTATTTAGATCTACTTTTAAATTGGTGATTTGAAACTTAGAAATTGTAAATCCAGGTTCTCTCACAATAGCCGGGGTTGCGGGGCAAGCGCAATGAGGCACCGCGGCCACGGCCTAAAGCAGGAGAAGGAACGGGGGTCAGTCAGTTAGAATCTGACACTCTCTCTCGCCTTATCCTGGGCGGGAGAAGTCATTTGATGAGTTTTCCCCTGACAAAAAAAGGTACTCGCACGTTTCCCTCCACCGTTTGACAGTGGTATTTAATTATAATTGTGATTTAATATTGATTTTTGATTTATTCTATATCATAATATTATAAATTAATTACCTATTTAGTTTTAACATTAACATTTATAAAACTAACATTAAGATCATTAAATTTCGAATACAATGAAAAGATAGGTAATAAAGAACGACAGACTACTTGGCTTACTAAATAAACATAAATAAAGAGTTACATATTATCACATAATAATAATAATAAAAAAGTACTTTACTTACATTAAAACAATTCAATTTAAATTAAATTAACTTTATTGAGAAGAGGCAAACAGGTAATATTCACAAGGTTACATTTAAATTAGCTGATCAAATTAGCTATTGTTGTTGTTTTAAAGTAGGTACATACATATGTACATACTACTAAACAGACAAACGGTTTTGTTGGTCCAGCTGAACATTAGATACAACCTGGATTTGATTCCTGATTTGAATTTCGGTCAATGACAACATGGAGTTTCGTTTCGTTTTATAGAAAAACGTTGCCCCACATTAGGATTTTCTCCTGTGTCTTGGGTGCGGTTACGAACATACAATTTCACATGCACATGACACCCAGACCCGAAACAACGATTGGTGGGTCACACAAAGAGTTTTTCCGTGCGGGAATCGAACCCGCGACACGTTGCACGGCAGCCAGTTGCCCAGCCACCGCACCAACCGTGCAGTCAAGTTTGTTCTACATAATATCTCCATCCTTGGACGATGAATGATCCAATCTATAGTTACTCCCATTTTATTACGTTTTAATTATCGACGTGTATTCGTGTGCAGACCTTTATCAAGTTACAAAAAAAATATTATCTTTACCTATAGCAGATTAAAACAAAAGGAAATAAACTGTATGGAAGAGACGCATTATTTTTTAAATTTATTTTTTAGTAGCGTAATGTCAAGGCAAACGCATTCCGCCCTACATAGTCCAATTAAAATACTTACTTATAGATAAATGCGTAAGATATATTTAAGATGCTTTACTTTTATTTTTTAAATTTTATACCAAGATTGCAAGCCGTCTGCGCCACTTATCTTACTCCCTATTATTTGAAAAGGGAAGATCAATTTCAAAGCCTTTCTTATTCAGTTTGGTAAACATAAATAGATATTATTCGTAAAGATCGTAGTGATTAGAGTTTTAGCTGTAGAAACATACATAGATATATAAGTACCTACGTAAACAGTAGCAGTAAACATCATCCCACTACACAATAAATAAGTACAAAATAATAACAAAGATTCATGTGCGCATTGTTATTGTATTGTTAAACAAATACTTTGTATCAAGCCTTTGCATAGACCCATATATGGGCTAAGTATGTACCTAACTGACTGCAGTATACATACCTACATTACTCATCTTCCTTAAGATATGTACCTAAGTACATCGTAAAACTTTCCATTGTAGTCAACAACCTTACAATTAAACTCTACCTTTATATTGTTGACCTTGAATTCTGCACGTCAATAAACCGGGAAGTGACGCGTGTTGCCACAAATATGTGAATATTTCAGAGAACGCTGAGAATAGCCCGCCCGGTGAAGACTGGTTTCCGATCTCCCATATTTGTGTTGTCAATATTTGTACTAAAGTTAAACTCAACATGCTAAGAAGGCACCTGTCTATTTAGATACTGTTCATAATAAAGACTTTTCAATACTAAATCGATTTAGATTATATCAGTTCATATGTATTTATTCATTTTAAGATTTGTTTAGTTTCAGTTTAAGAACAAAGCATAAGCAAATCGGAAGTCAAAAGGGCATTTAAGTTCTCGCAAATATCATAAACAGGGGCAGATAATACTCGTACATACCGTGTAACGATTAACACGACTTAAGGCCCCACCCCCACGGAATATAAAAACGACCCTTCATTTGAGAAAAAGAAATCAGTCATTCACATGTTAAACTCAAAATTTGCTGCCCCTAAAGTCTTATTTCTTTTTTGTTGAGGGGGTAAATCATCAAATTACTTCTTTCCCAGTATGAGGGAGTGTCACACTTTGACTACTTAATTAAAAATCACCTGTTTCTTCTCCTGCTCTAGGCCGTGGACACGGTACATTATTGAGCTCACTACCTCCGTTTCCCAAGAGGCTCTATTTAGTTTTTAGGGTACCTATCGTAAGTCACATAGGTATTATAACATGGCGTATATTAAAACTGCAGCATAATAGGTACTTCCTACTCTTTAAACTTTAAAAATAATAGGTATCTACTTATCCAAAGCAGTGGTCCAACTTATTTACTTGATTTCATTTTCCTTATTTTGTTGTTAAGTCTTAGTAAGAGATTTTGTCGTGTCACCGATGTCGAGGGCGACCATTGTGCCAAATTAATAGGCATACAAATTCATTATCTCGCTGAAGGCCTACAATTTAATTATTTATCTTCTGAGTATTTTGTATCAATCAACCATTGAACAATGCTTAAACATTTCAAGTTTGGTTATGGTGAGGGATTATTTTGACGCCCTCAGGATTAAGAAAAGAGATTAGGTACGCGTACTTTATTGTTGGGCATATTTCAAGAGCTATTTAGAATAAAACTGAGATCAAAGTCAAAGTCAAAAAGACAAAATCATTTATTTCGATTAGACCACAGTAGGCACTTTTGAACGTCAAGGAAAAAAAAAGAAAAAAAGTATTCCAAGAGCTGTTTACTGTTCCACAAGTAGGTAAGTACATATCTAAGACAGTATTTTTCAATAACTACTTTTCAATTTGAAGTAACTTCTTAGGTTTTTGTTTATTTAAGATCAAATCGTCCATGACTTGACTTTTTGTTAGAGATTACGGCAACTACCAAATGAAATAATGAATCTAGTTGAGCATTCAAATGTTGTCATGGAAAAAATAGGAAGGTACGGTAGTATGACATTTGTTTCCCGTGGCACAGTTGAAGGGCGTCCCAAACGTGTCGCTAGTCACTCATTACTACACACAATACCTACCTATAATTAGTATAGTTACTTAAATAATCTTTACTAATCGATGTACTTATAAAGAGAGATAATTAATCGTGTTAGTAGTTACCTAGAAGGTTAATCTTTTAAAAAATTCAAAGTTAAATTATATAGGTAGGTATTTTATTTGCATATTTTACTTTAGCTATCGCTTTAAACGCTGCTGTTTTAAAATATACAAGGGATACACTAGGTACTTTTATACGCGTGCGAAGCCGTTAAGCCGCAAGTATGTCGATGCCAATGTGACTTTTTCTATAAACAAGCATTGAACTCGTAAGTTGTTGTTAGAAGGTGTCTGGCAAAACTTAGGTTTGTACAAATTAGAATTAAATTGGTCAGCAGTGCAACAAAAAAGTTAGAATAGCCAGGTCTTACAGAAATTAAGTGATATACCTACATACCTACCTACCTATGTTCTCATTATGTTCTCATTATTATTAGGTGTCATTTAGAATTAAGTGATTTTCAAGCAGGAAGAACTTTTTGCAAAGATCGTAAGCATGCCCACCTACATGTACCTGTTATTACAGATAGCATTATATTGTGATTAACCTACTCCTAAATTCATTTTAAGTTCATCTGTATGTACAAGTGTGGGAGCGCCATGCTTCGGCATGAATGGGTCGGCTCAACCGGAGTGATACCACGGCCTCACAGAAAACCGGCGTGAAACAACCACAGCGTTGTTTCGCCGAGTGAGTGAGGTAGCCGGAGGCCCAATCCTTCCCCTCCCCCGATCCATTCCAATCCCTAAATACCAAAAACCCTAATCCCTAAAAGGTCGGCAACGCACTCGTAACTCCTCCGTTGCGGGTGTCCAAGGTTGGCGCTGATTACTTACCATCAGGTAATCAGCACGCTCGTTAGCCCTCCTATCACATAAAAAATACATGGCTAAATGTCATGGTGGTCCGGTGGTTAAGAAACTCAGTTCTCCGTTAAGGCATAAGAATGCGGGTTCGGAATCTGGCAAGTATCAATGTGTCATTTTCTGTATTATACCTATGTTCTTTCTAAGATTATTTAGACACCACTGATAGAGTAGAAACCTAGATTTTTAGTTTTAAGGATGTTTCAAAATGGCCAATTCGCCATAATCAACCGTAGTGACTAATTTTCTTCTACATGTGAGAAGAGGCCTATGCTCAGCACCTCAACATTGGGTATCTACTTATAAGATGATAACGTAATGTATACTTATCTATATTTACCTATGAATTATACGTAGTAGGTAGGTACTTAAGTAGGTATTATGTAGGTGCCTTATAATATAGGTTTTATGATTATTGTAATAACTGTAGGTACTCATACTCACTACTGAATACGTGATCGTGAATTTCATTCCTTAACATAGTAACTGGCTATGTTATTGTTCTAGGGGTCTGACTTGAAATTTCAATTCTAAAAGACTGTTTTTTTATTTCCTATGTTTATGACTTATCCGTCCGTCCTTTGTGTAAAATACGAAGCGAATAATAAAAGAAGTGATGCTAGATACCGGGGGCCCAATCCTTCAACTCCTCTGATCGTTAAATCTCCTAATCGCCAAAGGCCACTCGTTTATCTTTCGGTGTTGCGGGTGTCCATTGCCTGTGTCTATTGTTTGCCATCAGTTAATGCAACTGCTCGTTTGTCAACCTATCACATAAAAAGCTACTTAATAATATTTGATGTTGACCAAAGATATTATATAGTTGTCTTTAAAATATCTTTGATGTTGACTGTTCGGCGTGGTCACTGGGCAACTGGCTGCCGCGCAACGTGTCGCGGATTCGTTTCCCGCTCGGAACAACTCTTTGTTGTCTCAAATTGTTGTTTCGGGTCTGGTTGTGATTAGTGATGGGATTCTACCTGGGTAAATTCCCAAAATGGGAAAATTCCCGGGAATATTCCCATTGAACCCACCCAATGGGTATTTATTCGGGTATTTATATTTTCATGATCTAAGAACAATTTTTTATCAAAATACATCTTAAAAAAGCACCGCGTTATGCAAAAAATAAACAAAGAAAATTTGAATTTGGCGCCAGCGTTGAAGCTTTGTTTGAACGTACGCGCCGGCGGCGCTGACGGTGCGTGGTGTTTTTTGATTGGTGCATTTCATCTACCTGGTAAAGGTAGATAAAGGTGGCCATGTTTAGTATTCACGTGAGTATCGGATATTGCGGATGTGTCTTATGTATTATACTACAACAATTCTGGTGTTTTGTGTTGAAACTTGTTAACTGGGTTTTTGAAAATTGAACTTGATAATTTTCGCAACGGATTCGTAGTGAATTATTTAATTATTGTTTTGAGTGAGACGATCAAATCGAATTTACGTAAGTATAATTGTTCCTTTAAAATATATTTATTGATTTTATTTATATTAAAATAAAATTATTTATATAAAAATTGAAAAGACCTCTGATAGAAAAGCATACCAATATAAACTTGCTCAAACACTATCATATTAGTTTGTTCAGTTTATATATTTCATTAGAAATCCCGGCAATGGGTATTTTTGTCGCAAGTTAATAAAACATTGCTTAATTTACAATATATTTCAAAATCAAAGATGAGTTGATGACACTTAAAGATGAGTTTTATGAATCAGGCATACGTCCTTCAACTTATTTAACTTACCTACGTCGAATAATTTTCGATTATTCGCGGAAATTGATAACTATAATAAATACTGCATAATTTTCAGTACATGAGTTTCCTGAATTCCATATGTCCTTAAACTGATTTTAACCTACTTTTTGTTATAGATATCATTATGCCGAAACAGAAAAAACAAAAAGTGTGGAGACATTACCACAGCTTACCCGACAAATCAGTCAAATGCACATTTTGTTCAAAAATGTACCGTGTACCCAATGTAACCAAAATGGGTACGCACTTGCTGAAGTGTCCTAAATGTCCACTGGTTATAAGAAACGAGTTAACGGAAAGCTGTGAAGAAACATCGTTAATAGCATCAAATACAACGAACTCAGCAATTACAGAAGGAGGATATGTAACCTCAACACCCAGTGACGCTACTCCGTTGCTCGAATTTACAGAAGAAAAAAAGCGACGACTTACAAAGTTGCTTTCAAAGGCAATTTATGTTACTGGCTCGCCTCTGTCTATGGTGGAACATCCTCTGTGGAGAGAGTTTTTTAAGGAACTCCAGCCACTGTTCGAACTGCCAACACGGAAAGTTGTGTCCACAACGCATTTAGACACGATTTACAATGAAATGGAACGAGAAATAACTGAAGAATTGAAGTCGACTAACAATTTACATCTTCAGTGCGATGGATGGAGCAACCGACGGAACGAGGGTATTATTAATTTTGTGATTGCAAAACCTGAACCCGTTTTTGTGAAAAGTTTAGCTACAAGTAGCCACCGTCACACTGCCGAATACCTAAGTGAAGAAATTCAACAAGTAATGAGAACTTACGGAACGTACAAATTTGTGTCATTGATAGGAGATAACGCAAGAAATCTACAAAAAGCTTTTGATTTAGTTAAACTGGAACATCCGAACGTAATCACACTTAATTGCGTAGCACACACATTGAATTTATTGTGTCATGACATAATGAAAGAAGATGCTATAGAAGCCTTCATATCAGTGGCCATCGACGTAATCAAATCTGTAAAAAAAAGTCAAATACTGTGTGCGTTATTCAAACAGATAATTGCAGAAAAAGGTTCTGGCGAGCAACTAAAATTGCCCAGTAAGACGCGTTGGGGCAGTTACTTTCATGCTGTGCGTAGTTTGCAAAATAGCAAAGCGGCTCTGCAATGCTTGGCAGTACATGAAGATGCAAAAATGATCCCAGCTGATATTAAAGCTCATTTACTAGATGAAGAATTTTGGAAAATGATCGACGAATCTACAGCTATTTTAGAGCCAATAACAGATTACATATTTAAACTAGAAGGGAACGAATCCTACATTAATGACGTGTACATGGCATTTAAAGATATTAAATCACGTTTGGTCTTTCTTCTACCTGGTTTTTCTTCTTTATTTGACGATAATATCAGAGACAGGATTTTGAATGCAGTTGATAAACGCAGAGAGAACTGCATAAAGCCTATTCATCTAGCAGCCTATATGTTAGATCCAAAATGTCAAGGCATCGAAATGAACGAGGATGAAGAAATTATTGCCATGGATTTCATTCATGAGAAAGGTAGGCAGTTAAATTTGGAAGTAATTACAGATTTAGCCAATTATAGAGCAAGAGAAGGCTTCTGGGCAAAATCTTTTGTGTGGGCCAGCCTCCAGAACATGAAACCTTTAACTTGGTGGAAAGGAATTTGCAAAAACAAGGCTCTAAGCAAAGTTGCAGCTTGTCTTTTAACTGCTCCCTGTACATCGGCTGCAACAGAACGAACTTTCAGCATTCATGGCAACATCCACAGCCTTAAACGGAATAGGTTAACAACAGAAAGAGCTGCAAAGCTTGCCTACATATCTTATAACTGGAATTTATTACATAATCAAAAAGACGAAGAAGTAGATGAAGACGAAGAGGAACCCATTTCAAGTCCTCTTATGGTTAGCCCATCAACCATAAAAAATATTGAACCTCAGCCATCAACTTCTGGAAGAAATACTAGACAAATAGAGTTTTGCGATGTAACAAAAATATTATCCGATAATAGTGACTTAGACAGTGACTAAATTAGTCTCGATAACATGTTACCATAGAGAGTATTTAAATTTGATGTACTAATTACATTTTTTGTTACCTTGTATTTCAATTTTAAACCATCATTTTAATATTTACACCAACTCAATTGTTGATTAAATGATTTTGGGATTGATGTTTTTGTATTTATTCTATACTTACCAATTTAATAATCATAGAAATTAATATACCCGCCATTTGGAAATTTTCCCGGATATATACCTATTTTGGGTATATACCCAGGAATATTCCGGGTGGAATGATAGAAACTTTCCGAGTCGCACATCACTAGTTGTGATACATATGTGAAATTACCATATAATAATATATTTCTAAACGCACCCACGATACATGAGAAAACCCTAGTGTGGGGCAACATTTGAAAAAAAGATAGTATATTTATAATCACCTATTTAATTTTTTCCAGACATGACTTGAGCAAAGCCAAGCAATCCATTACGATCAGGTGCAGCGTGGACTTAAACGGAGACTATAAACTGGGCGGTCAATTGCTGGTGCTGCCCATTAGAGGGGAGGGGAAATATCACATCAATATCCGTAAGTCAACATCTATTATTTATAACAGGTTGAATAAAATAGGTCTGTTGTGTCCTTAATAATGATCTTGAATACATAATAATATACATAAGTACACCTACTTATAAGTGTTTACTTTTAACACAAAACTGTTTGAACTTTTTACTGTTGTCCGAAAATCGATTTGGTGAACCTGTATATTGTAAATTATAAAAATTATTACTCACGCCTTGCATTTTCTGCCTTTTGGTATTTGATTAACGTTATAAACTATACCTATTTCAGGAGACATAGTGATTAAAGCAAGCAACGCGTTGGTGACGGTCGATGGTGCCGATGGCAAGAAACACTGGCACATCGACAACTGGCATTTCACTCATCAGGTGAAGACTGGCGCAGTCTTCAATTTCGATAATCTCTTCAATGGAAACAAGATTTTGGGTAAGTTTTCGACCTTGACGAAGTCAAAATTAAGTCTACAATAATTGTTCAAGCAAATTAATTCATCAAAAAAACTTGTAACACTGTAGAAATTAAATAAAACTGAATGAGAGAAAACAAGAATGACTTAATCTTAATGAATGCTTTTTTTTCAGCTGGTCCTGTTGAAGACTTCGTTAACTCAAACTGGCGTGATGTTATGCGTGAGATAGCTCCACCAATTGTTCACGCCATCGTAGCACGTGTTGTAGAAGCAGTAGAAGCACTATACAAGGCTGTTCCCGCAGATGAACTATACATTCAATAAACAGTTAAATGAACAAACTCGATTTAATTAAACATGTAGGATAGATAAATGCAGTGATAATAAATTAGATTAAGTTTTATGGTGTTTTATTTTACTACTAAAATTATTTTACCACGAAATACCTATAAATCCAACTGACGTAGGTAGCAGATTATAGGTGACTGAACATCACTATGGCTCAAAGAAATGACTATGCTGTGTGTAGAAACGAATGTCAATAGTGTCAACTGTCAGGTATGTCCATACGTTATTGTCGTGTATATAGGTTATGTTGTGGTTTTGTGATAATACAGTGATATTGAATTGAATTATTTTGCGTGTAAATGTTTAAACATTGATTTATTACTGAAAAAGGTTATTTTATCACAATATGCTGTGTCCAGAAGTATGGGATTTTCCTTCACCAAAAGTAATGGTAACTCACAGAAAAGACCAGGATTTAGAAACAATAAACAAAACTGTGAATATGAACTATTTCTACAGAAGTCTAATTATAACATGCCCTGATGAGACACAAATGCCAAGTTCCATTCAAGATTTGATAACAGAAGATACCGATTATTATAAACTATCAGATTGTTCACTTGCCGAATTTGTGGAGCCAGTTTTCATTGAAAGCTTTATAAAAACCGGTAAAGTGTACTGTTTGTCGACAGGCAGAAACTGTATTATTCAAAATTGTACTGCTATAACTCCCGACGGACATCTAATACTACACATACCTGACTACATATTCCAAACATTAGGATTTGAAGGAACAAAGCGCCCACACAACTTTTATGAAGTAAAAGTTGACCTTAAAACAGTAAAGAATCACTCAAAGCTGCGGACATCTTTGCAAAAATTGGATAACTTTGACTTGAACATAATATGGGAACCAAATAATGAAGAAATCTGTCCCTCATCAATAGCCAAATATTTTAGTGACAGAAGCATCAATGTTTCAGTTCACTCATTAAAAATAAGGAATGTTATGCCATCAGTGGATGAAATACCAGCAGTTATAGATGTAGATATTGAAGAAATGGTTGAGTGGGTTGGATTATTGGCGTATGGGGCAGACATGTCACCAACAGAACCATACATAAGTACTTATTGTCAACCTGAAAGTGAAAATGCAATAAAAACTGGAAGAATATGTATTATGATTGCCAGTGGTTTCATAACTCCTCCATTGATAAATAATGTATGCAAGAAATTATCGGAACATGTTCTGGCCAGGGAAATAGACAATTACTGGGCTTCTATAAGCATACAGAGTGATGAGAATAGTTTGTGGCAATGGAATCCAAGTAGCCAACAAATGTTCCAAGCTCATGATTCTTCTTGTAATATATTTTTTACACACAACAGTCACACATTGTATTCAATAGGTCAAATAAAGTATTCCTAAATAAGCTTTTTTTTCTAATCCGTTTCTACAAAATATGTGAGATTAGGTTTATGGTTCTGAGTTATTCATTCTCAATTGTTTTACTTTGTTACTGTGCACAACAATGTCATGATTAACATGATATTTAATTAATGAAGAAACAGGATGATAAAATGGAAGATAAAGTCATCAAATAGAAAACTAAAAAATACCTATATTTAGTAAATATATATCATACATCTTCACTTACATAAAGCTACATTATTTTCACATGGGTGACTATTTTGTTAAGTTTAAACTATCATAATTTTTGAATATGGAATGTTTTCTTATTGGCCATCTGAAGTGTTATGTTATAAAGACAGGACAAAGGTTGTACTTCTGGAAATCTTTTCTACAATGATGATTTGGTACTGGACATCTGTGATAACAAAAACAAAAAATAATAAAAAAAAACCACATCAATTTAGGTAGTTTTATTGAAACAAAACAGTACATATGACATTACATGTGCCCTGCACCAATAATAAAAAATAAAAATCAAAAGATTCCAATAATTTGTTCACTGAGATATGCCAGGAATGCTATTTAAATAAAATACAACATCTAAATGTCTTACATTCTAACTCCATAGGTTGGCAACCTATATTGCAGTTTCCATTTGGAATTAAAACCCTGACACATTGATTACACTAGTATTAGATACCCAAATTATTACACATAGAAGAGGCACAAACATCAGTCCAGGTTAGAGGCTGATTCTCCAATATCCAGCTTGTACTTGAACTGTACCTTCAGAAGTGATTGACTAAGCTGATATGTGTCCAAACACTGCTGCTCATAAAACCAGCCTTTAACCCTTTACCAGAAAGTTGCTGCAAGCAGTTGCATTGCTAATACTACAGTAACAATGAAGGGAGAGACTGAAGAGTAGGACTTTCTAGACCTGGGCGATTCCAATTACACCACAAGCGATGCGAGCACCAGCATTGCCTGTTGTCTTGCTCAGCTCATGGCCACCAATGCCAAGGTCATCGGGGTCGGCGTGGACGACCAGGGTGCGGCCAATTATGCTGTTGGGTCCACTCAGGGAGATCACACTGTCTTGGATGCACACCTATAATAATATTGCAGACAATGTTTGACAGACAAAAAATACAATTGCTGTATACATTATAGTTCCACCAAAAAGTTCTTATCTCTTATAAGAACTTTTTGGTTAATATCTTTTGTAGCATTGGGAAGGTCATAGATACGGAATTTAATTTTGGTTGAATAATTAAACTATGAACTTATTTTTTCTCTGTTTGGTATAATGTTGGAAGGTATCTTAAATAATGCTATTTATCAAATAGTTTCGTAATAAAATTTAGGTAAATGAAAGAAGTAAAAGTAAAATATTGTCATTAACAGCAAACTTATAAGTTGTTTCTCATACCTTTGTAGCGCCACCGGTAGACTCAATATTTCCGAGGTCTCCAACATGACGGACCATGGCATCTGGTGCACCGTGCTCCATCTTGTTGGGGTTGAAGTGAGCGCCAGCTGACGTGCATCCATTTGTGTTGTCACCAAATTCGTGAATGTGGAAGCCATGCTTGCCCTGAAATTGTTTTTTACTTTTTTAGACAGTGCTAATACTTAGTTGTTGAATAGTAGTACCGTGCGGGTATTGAACCGGCGCGGCGACACGTTCCTCAAGTTAGCGGTTGTCAAGCTTCTATCATTATTAAGTCATTCCCAGGTCCCAAAGATGATAATCAAAGTATTAATAGGTTTCTAGAAGTTTTGGAGCCTATTCAATTTAAATTTGATTGAAGCATATAAATATTTTTTTATTTATTAATACTCTTACAAGTTAATTTCAATGACAGAATCAATGTCAATAACTTATTCATACCTTCCCTACAAGTGTTAATGATTAAGGAGAATCTCTCTGCCTTCCTCCGGGGAAATAAAAGGTTTGATTTTAGTCTGTCAACCAGTTTTTTATAAATATTCCACAAGTTAAACTTATTAACTTAATTATGAACAGTGGATGCAATTTTCAGTTCTTTACTTAAATGGTTAAACCAAACAATAATAATAAAAGAGTAACAGTTGATAACTTATCAAGCAATTTCTCAATGTAACTGGGTGTTAAAATAAATATATTTGTAGTTAATGATTACATTATAAAGTTGATTACGGTTACGACATACCTAGTCACCTTGAAAATGCTGCTACTGTAGGTACTGTTTTGTTAAGTTGTTGTCTATGCTAATTTTATGTATGACCACTTCACATCAAAGTTGCATCGTCATTTTGAACTATTCAATATTTTTTTACGTCAATTGTATCAACATTATTGTCGCTGATATTATGTAACAGAATCTATGTATAAGAGGGTTGGCAGAGATGAAGATTGTCTTTGTTTAGAAGTTTAGTTGATTCTACATGACTTAATTGAATTTTTAACCTCATTGCAGAAAAAAGTATCTAGTCTAATTTGTTAACTGTATCAGGTTACAAATTAGACTAGATGGCATATTCATATAGATTAGATAATGGGCATGGGTGTCTCATACTTCTTATATACATTAAAATCATGAGTGGATTCTGAAGGGACCATATTAAGTTTTTTAAAGTATTGTTAAATCTCTGTTTCTATTTTTCACAAATAGCTAATGGGATGTTATGTTGCAACAATATTATAATTATGTAGGTAGGTACCTAAATCTATTTGAGAACTATTAGTATACATTTTAGGTACACAAGAAAATGTATGTCAACTTTATTTACACAATCATGAATAATTTATTTGTATTATTAATGTTCTGTTCATACCTTTGAAAGACCTTGGACTTCACCGGTCAGCACCACGGGCCCCTTTTCTTCCTGTAAAGAAAATTAAAAAACATTTTTCATGGCATTGAATTCTGAATTCATACACATAAAAACGATTTTGTTACTCTTTTTTAGTACATCTTTGATAATAATTTTATTGATTAGGATTTTATTTTTAAATAATTAAGTACTCAAAAATGATTTATATTAAAAAAAATACTTGGAACATCAGAAATGTAATCAATTATCAAAAATGTACTCAATTATCTTCCAAACAGTACATTATCTTCTAAAACATCTTCCATATCATAATGATTTTTAATAGCTTATGTCATGCTTGTAATGCACAATTTATTTGGACTATGTAACTCTAAAAATAGTTGTTTGACTACATTCCATAAAAAACATGTTTTTATAATGTTAAGGTAGGTACATGAAGTTCCAGAACCATCTTGTACGTATGATAAGAAGAATAAGTATATATTTATTGTGTGCATTGTAGGTAGGTGGCCACTAAGAATGTTACTCTATACTTCATACTGAAAATCATAAAAACCTACTATCAATTAGGTATCAATTTTCAAGCTTGCCAATTCTATTGTAACTTTACGCAAAAAAAAAAATGTATTAAATAATTACCTGTTGGGAGAAGAAAATCGTTCCGGTTACATCGCCCTTGAGAACACACACGGCTTTAGTCGGCATTTTCAGATTCGATTATTAAGTTATTGGATCACAATTAAACAGGCAAAATGAACGCCTTTACGCTTTAATTTCTTCGTGAGTAATGATTTTATTACAACGATTACACCAGAAAGTTTTCTAGTGAGGAGGACGAATAGAATGAAATTAATGTGGTCGACGAGTCGAGTCAAGGATGGCCAATAAATTGTTAAATTGACGTTTCGTACTGCGCTAGTGCGACGCGATATAATTTTTATGAACGCTCTATTTTAGCCTATTTAGTAATTTTTGTTTTTAGAGTAGGTGTCTTTTAATTATTACTCTGGTTGTAACAAACTGATAAAGTACCTAATTTAAAAATATACAATACCAGCTATGTACTAAGTTTCACCTTTGTGCATTGATTATTGATTACTAAAAGCTCAAGATTCGGAAAAAAGGTAGGCAGTGTCTTCACACTAAGTTGTCACTTGTCAAACAGTCGTCTGTCTATGTTGTCATTTCATTAGTGTTTTGTCAGTAAATCTGTCATACATAACCTGTGTTTTTAATAGTGTGTTAGTTTTAGAAAAACAATATATTATATTATTGGTACATTTGCTTATTTAGGAGTCTTAAAAACTTGTTTACTTTTCTATTTGCAAAAAGAATTTAGTCATGGAGAATATGAATTGTAATTACATCGCACCAACGTGTACGAATGTAAGTATGATAACCGTGTTAATTTTGCAGAATTTGGCTAAAAGCAATTAAGTTTTGGCTTCCAAATTAATCAGAACTCCGCCCCTAAGGCTACCCACTGACCGAATTATTTGGTATTGTGTCCGACAGAATATCATAAATTTTACGCTAAGTATACTAGCGTAACCGTGTCAGTTTATCGTTTTCGCGGCTTTGAATCTGCGCATGCTTAGGAGCAGCTTACTGGGAGATGTCTGATAGCTGCTTGTTTCGTCTGGCTAGCACAGATGATTTCTCGAAAAGGAGAAATAATATTAATGTTACAAAAACAGTTTAAGTACCATATTAAAAATGCCATAACTCATCTTGCACCTGAGTATTTGTATCAAGTTCCGAGTTCTTCAATCCTTTCCTTTTTTTAACTATGTAACAATACTCCCAAGTTTTGCAAATGCTCACACTTAAAAACTGCATATAAGTATGTGATTCTGACAGTAAGCTTAATTATGAACTCTTGCATTTCAGGTTCCTGCCGACATTGCTAAAAATAGTACAATTGTAGAAGAGGGACCAAGGGTAAATATATTTGTATAATATTTAAATAATATGTAGGTACTTATGCATACACTAAATCTATACATCAAGTGTGGGCTAATACCACAGAAAGCTGGACACGAAACCCAATACTTACCAGGGGCATGCACAGCCTTAAACAAGGTATCACAGATATCATTGAAAGCAAAAACCAAGATTCAGTTTTCAAACCAAGAGTCGGGTCTACAATAAAATGCAATTGTTAATTTTGGGTTTGAACAACCTACTTAACATTTTTAAATTAAATAGAACAAATTAAATGACCTGTTTTTAAGTTTCATCTAACCCGGTATTGGAACTGTTTTTCTTCAAACAACAATGCAGAATTTATTTTGAAAGAAATATCCAGTACAGATTTAACAGCTACATTTATTCACTTGCTCTTGGAAAATCAAACTGTAACACAGAAATTGTCATCCCCTAAAAAAACTGTGTAAACATGGGTATAAACTATTTTTTAAACAAGCTGTGAGGAATTTAACTATTACCCAATCCTACCCTACCACTAATCAACAATGGATGAGAAGCAGCGCTAACAGTGGTGAAATAGTAGGTAGGATATTGAATCACCACAAATGAATTTTGTAGTTCCACATTTTTTCGATAGATGGCACTTTAAACATATTTTTAATTACGAGTTAAAAAAAATACGAGCCCCTGTATGATGTCTGTGAACCATTGTAACGATTTAATGAGTAAAAGTACAATAAATTTTGAAGAGATTACTTTTAGTTTTAGCTTAAAACCAAGTACCAATTTGCAAATAACGATACCGTATCAAGAAAGTATAATATTGCAGATGTGAGACTTATTTCTTCGTATTTTTTTTATATGCTTCTTAACTTTTATAATATTTAAAAGTCGGTGTTACATTCTCTTTTTTTTCACTGGTTTCATTGTTGTAACACAATCTTTAAACACAAGTCAAATTTTTCATTGTATGACGATTGGGAGAACTGTGCTTGCGTAAACTGTCACGGACAGCAAATCTACACATATGCGAACAAATATCCTGCGAAATAGAACGTGATGGCTTCTGTTAGTTGAAGTACGTTATTTTGCAGCGCCGCCGTTTGCTTGGTGCCAAACTATTGGCAAATATGATGTTTGTGTGATTAAAAATAGGTTCTAAAAGACCATAAATCAAATTGGACTTAGTGTCCAACAGAGTTATAGCATATGCCGTTGTGAAGGATTTTGTTTGTACTAAAATTGTAACTATGGGCACCATTTTCAATTCCATTCCAGAAAAAAGATATGCACCTAAATAGGTTTGTTAGAAAAAGACAATAGTTAGGAGTCGTAGAACTTATTGAAACAATGTATTCATTCTCAAAATGCTTAAGTGGTAGACAATAGATGTGCCTTCACCCGTGCGATTTACAGCACTCCCTTTTACACCTCTCGGGCACCTGCGCGGGCGCCCGTGTAGGTACTCTCATTGGAAGCAAATCATCTGTAAGTCTTCCCTTTTTATGATATCGCTTGGGTCATATCAAATCGAACTTGCTAAATCAATTGCAGCGAACATTTACGCAATGGTTCATACCTATACGATATAAGTGTGTCGTGAAAATGAATTAAATAATTTAGCAGCATGCAATATCCGAATCACGAATTAGTGATTGACGAGAGATATCCATCTCTCGTCAATCACTAATTCGTAAGGGATGGGAGATATTAATCTCTACACTTTACGATTGCATGTTTTGGCAAACAAATAAAAAAACAAGCAGTTTAAATACCTATGTGTATATCGATTATTATAAAATTAATTATCAAATGCTGTATTAATTATCCGTACTTTCTTTTTGCATATCACAAAACACTAATATTGCGAGTTATGTTCCAGTTGAATTAGATAATGAACAATTTCCTAGTCCGCAATAGTAGACCCTAATGACTGTAAATAGGCAAAAACGTCTTAAATATTCTATACTTACATAAAATCAGAAATAAATATCGAAATTTTGTCCATTTCTTAGTCTTTTTAGAATGCTCGGTGTGTTTATAATATTAGTCAAAAAAATTTATTAATCCACTATGTATATGCATATTATCATTTACAACTTTGCGTAGTGAAATGTTTCTAATGTTATCCTTGTTTTATTTTTACAGATTTGTCCTCTATGCAACGCTCTAGTGAGATTGTACTACGTGCACTACACAGCTAAATTATTTATGTGTGAAAACATTGAATGCGAGTATCCATTTGGTGGTGACTTTACAGTCTATTCCAGTGATGATGATGATTTCTTTATGTCAGAGTTTGATAGTTCCAGTTTGAAGCGTAAGAGAGGCAGTACCGCTACACAATCTATAGCGCAGACAACAACAGGTACTTCAACTGTCGGTACAAGTTCGGAGCTCTCAACTTCAGAATGGTCCGACATAAACAGAATAAACCAAGCATATGATTCAGATGACAGTACGACATTGTCAAAAATAATCACCAAAAAATCAAACAAACGTAAAACAGATAAAAATGTTAAAAAACAAGAGAATGAAGAGATGATAAAACAGAATGTTGAAAAGATAAAGGAACTTAATAAAGTGTTGTTTGATAATGATGATGACTTAGAAATTATACGTAACGAGAAATGGATTAAAAACTTATCATCAATGCAATCTTCGACTGGAGCCAAGTTGGTTACGGAACAAGAACTACTAAAGTTAAAGAAGATTGAGCAAAAACGTGTCCAAGAATTAAAAATTGATATTGAAGCGTCAACCGATTCAATGTCTTCTATTAAAATTGAAATTGGTGGTTTGGGAACAAACAAAAACACTTAAATCTCTCGATAGTGTCTTTATGAGAATTAGGAAAGGTTTATTTTTTTTGTCGAAAATACGGTACATATTGAAATATGTATTGTATGAGGCTTATAACCAGATTTTTATTTTTATTGATCTTTTGCCGTCGTCAGGCATTTGCATACTATAGTACAAATTATCCAATTTGGCAGAATTTTTGTTCCTTGAATAGGAGTCTTGTTTAGGTATGTTCTGTGGTGCTAATAGGCCAAAAAGCAATGGAAAAATGTATTATTGTTTTTCTGGTTGTATGTTTTATTATTATTTAACATTATGTAACTCTGACAGGGCTGATTTGCAATTATACGTCTGGTGATCTTGATTTTTATAAGATTGTCAAACTTGATGGGCAAAAAGTTGAGGACTTTATGAACGAATGTGTTTTGTCCATATTGAAAACTATTTATTGTAGTACCTGTGTTGTGAGAGTTGAAATTATAATGTGATAACAATTTGGATTTTCTTTTATTTACATCTTGTTAATTATAAACCTACATGGTCATAGTTATATCTTGTTGTCCGCGTATTACCGAGTTAGATCTATCGTTGTGTTTTGGAATCCTTCAACCAATGGCGGTCTTTGATTTGCTTAGAGTTTTTTTGAGTCGTACCTACGTTGCGTACGGCCTGCCACTTCATCGCGTAAGAGGTGGTAATAAGAATTCAGAAAACTGATTTAAGTGTGGGAGATGATGTGGCACGAATGGGCGGGCTCGATTGAAGTTATAACACGGCCTCACAGAAAACCGGCGTGAAGCACTACTTGCCTACGTTGTGTTTCGCCGTGTGTGTAAGGTAAACGGAAGCCCAATACTCCCCCCATGCTCTATCCTCAAATCTCCTATCCGTAAATCCTTAACGACTTACAAGAGGCCTGCAAGTCCGGCAAAGCACTTATGGTAACTCCTTTTTTATTATGAGTGCTCATGGGCGGCGCCGATTGCTTACCATCAGGTATTCCGTCCGCTTGTTTTGGAAAATAAGCAAAATTTGCCTTAGAAGCTATCAAAATGTCAATCGAACTCCAAATATCTTAGTCAGTACTTGCATCTGCGACCACTTGACTGATTGAGCTAGTTGTATTTTTCCGTGCATACCTAATGCAAAAACTTAGGACCAACTCGAGACATCTACCTACGTAGCAAATATGTAGTATATATATAGCATATATGTGTATATGTAGATAGATATATAAAGGTATAAATACTACCTACAAACATACCTACTTGTGTAAACTAGACCTGATGATACTCTAGGGAACCGAGTCTCGTTGCTAGTGAAAGCTAATGCGGTCGCCGGCTCGTATGTCTTGAAATTAAACTTAATAATGTTTTACCCTTCGTCAGTTGATGTTAGGAGATAATTCATGGCCACGCACTCAGGCTTTCATCATGATGTGGTTTTTTAATAGAGAGAATAAAATTAGGTGAGGGCAGGGACAAGTTAGGTATAATGACGAATGAAAAGCAGTGGACATCGGTGGTTATGGTGGACGCTTCAAGGTAGCCTGGTACTGTTTAGAGGTAGGTCCTATTTTTGTAAAAGCTTCTCGTAGGTACACCTCTAGGTTAGGCACAGAGTATTGCTATAAAAAGTACCTACCTAGAGACGTTCTTCAACCCCCGTAATCGCGGGTCTGCGGACGGGCGGTGGCTAAGGGTAGCTCTAAGGGCTAAGGGTAGCTACATGAAGGGGTGCTTCAAAATACTCCTTGTCGTCGTCTTATCAGGAAATACCCGGCTGGCAACGCACTTTTACCACTTCTAATGTTGTGAGTAGTTTGTCGGGCGCTGATAGTTTGTTAGTGATCCATTTGTTAGTTTGTGTGTGCCCATTAGTCATAAAAATCTCATCTTTACCTAATAAGCAAGACTAGGTACTTACCTAACCCCTTGTGCCTATTGGACCATATTCGTAGGTAAGAAGGTAGATGATCAAATAGGTCTAAGTTCCTACCTACATACTACACTACATCAAGCGGGTATCTGCCGGGCACATCAGAAGGGGAGGTAGCTTGAGCTTAGAGCTTGGTAGGACAGGCCGTTTTCTTAGGAATTTGATCTTGACTTTCCCTAATGGACGCCGGCCGTCTGACGAGTAAAGTCTATATACGACGAAAACGAAATGAGCCAAACGTAATTCGTCAGTGTAACGTTCAAGCAAGGTACCTATGTATAAAAGCTGTTGGGTTTTAATTACTATTTTATTGAATAAATTTTCTGTGCTTCAAACAAAGAAAAGGATACATGACATCATTACACGTAACTTATCATTGAGCTACAAACCAAGCAATTGAAGAAGTATCTACCTATTTGGGAATCTTTGCCTTTTGCATAGTTTATACATTGCTTACCTGCTCACTGCCAGTCATGTAACGAACACATCATTATCATCATCAACAACCTATAATTGCCCACTGCTGAGCAAAGGCCTCTTCTCGGAGAGGGACACGGAGAAGGTTTGAGCATTAATCACCACGCTTGCTCAAGGCAGATTGGCGATTTTAAACTTATAATTAGAAATTATAGGTCCAGGTTTCCACACTATGTTTTTCCTTCATTGTCTGTCAGTGGTATCTTAATAATCAAGCAGCACAAGAAGCAGGCGCCATAACCTCCGGGCCGCATCAACCCAAGTGCCCACTGCGTCTTCTCACACAGAGAAGGTTTGAGCATTAATCACTAAGTACGCTTGCTCAAGGCGGATTGGTGATTTCAAAGTTCATCATCATCTTCCTGCCCTTGTCCCGTTTTATTTGGGGTCGGCGCAATAAGTTTTTTTCTTCCATTCTGTCCTGTCACTCGTCACGCTATCGCTAAGTCCTCTATCTTCCATATCACTTCTCACACAATCCATCCATATTTTCTTTGGTCTCCCCCTGCCTCTCCATCCATCCACATTTATACGGTGATTGGTGGTGATGGTGGTTTGGTGATTTCAAAGTTATACTACAAAAATAAAATATATAAATATAAAATAATAATACCTACTATTAGAAATTATAAGTCCAGAATATTCTTATCTTAGTGGTGATCATAGACAGTAGGAACATGTAGGTAACTCGGAAAAAGCCACATTGTTATTTGCCAGGTTTCGAACCCGCGCATGAGAAGCGGGCGAATTAATCTCTCATCACCTCTCTCGTCACCAAGACATTTATCTAATCAAAACACATGTAACAGGTACCTAATGGATGTGACATTGTTACACACATTCCAATACCTACATATTGTGACAGAAAACTCTTTGACATCATGACGTCAATGGATGGTTGTCAAACGTTGCCTAGAGATTGTAAATTTCGTCTTGAATTGTCAACACGAGTTGGTGTAATCGGTAAGGCGTGTGGATTACACCACAGAGACCCCGAGTTCGAGTCCCGCCGTAAACATGAAGTTTTTTAGTTGATGGAAGTTTTGTCGAACTTTCTGGAATATTTGAGTGAAAGTGATGAAAAATTAAGGAGCGAGAAGAAGAATAAATAAAAATGAATAACGAAATTATTGGAAGATTCTGGAGGCATGACGATCAAAAAGAATAACGAAATTGAATGTTCTAGAACCTGACCGGGGGTATATAAGCGGAACTGCGGCTCACCGCTGGCAGTTGAGTTCTAAGTCTAAAGCGATTCGGAAGAAAAGGAAGAAGTGAAGAAGAAGAAAAGTGAGTGAAATAGTGAAGTGCAGTGAAATAGTGAAGTGCAGTCAGTTAAGTGAGTTAAGTCAGCGTGAACGGCAAAGTTGTGTCAGTCGGCCGGACTCTGCTGGAGAGGAACGCCGATAACTTAACTCCGTGGACGCTGTAACTTAAGTGCAATAGAAAGTCTGAAAACCGGTATTAGTGTTTCATTTCATCCAATCCCGTAACCCAAGCCCGCATAGTCAGGAACGTGACGTCAGGCACGTAACATTTGGTGTCAGAAGTGGGATTGGAGAAAAATGCCGCTAGTGCCGCAGGACGTAAGAGGAGTGAGTACCCGTGCTATGTCAGAAGCGCAGCGTGTGAGGGAAGAGGGTGCTGCAGCTCAAACCAGCGGTGCAGAAGCCAAGCCTGTGCAGGTGGATCTTCTGCTACAGCTGCAGCAAATGATGGCAGAACAGCTGTGGGAGCTGAAAGAAGATCAAGCGCGCCGCCTAGAACAGCAAGCACGCTGTCAGGCAGAACAGCTGCGGGAGCTGAAAGAAGATCAAGCTCGCCGCCAAGAAGAGCAAGCGCGCCGCCAAGAAGAGCAAGCGCGCCGCCAAGAAGAGCAAGCGCGCCGCCAAGAAGAGCAAGCGCGCCGCCAAGAAGAGCAAGCACGCTGTCAGGCAGAACAGCTGCGGGAGCTGAAAGAAGATCAAGCTCGTCGCCAAGAGGAGCAAGCGCGTCGCTTGGAACACATGCATAAAGATTTTACGAAGGGACTGCAAAAGGCTGTCGAACGGGTACAAGAAGTGGAGGAAGGGTTAGGCAAGTTGAAACTTCGCGTCATGGCGATAGAGGAGAGACTGGAAGAAGAGATCTCCAAAATCAAGCAGGAAGTGACAAACCCAAGCCCTTTGAAGAGCCGAAGCCGTCTTGCAGCCGTTTTTGACGCCCCAAATGCGGCCTTAAGCGCAACGAAAGGGCTCAAGATTCCCCATTACGACGGAACAACATCCTGGACTGCGTTCAAGCTACAGTTTGAGACACTTATGGAGGCTTATGGTTGGACTCAGAAGGAAGCACAGTCAGCCCTTACCCTGGCCCTCCGTGATCAAGCGCTCTCAGTGCTGGAAGCTATCGGCGCAAGTGGGGATCTCAGCTTTAGTGCCCTCCTCGACGCACTTGAAGCACGTTTTGGAGACAGCCACCTCGAGCACGTGTACAGAGCGCAATTAAAAGAGCGTACTCAGCGTGCTAATGAGAGCCTACAGCAATGGTCCGTGGAAATCGAGAAACTTGTACGTCGAGCTTTCCGGTCGACTCCGTCAATGATTGAAGGCACGCTTCTCCAAGCGTTCATTGACGGTATTCGGGACCCAGAAGTACGAGCTGCTGTTCATCTGGGCCATCACAAGATCATGAAAGAAGCTCTGGCCCATGCATTGGAAGTGGAAGCCGTGCGTGGCAACTCCCGTACCTTACGTCTGCGGGAAATGACGACAACGGAGCAGGTACCTCCACGCCGTCGGAACTTCATGTGCTATGGATGTGGAGAGCGTGGGCACATACGGAGCGACTGCCCGAAGAAGATGAATCGCAAGGACGCGGCGGTCTCAACTTCTGACCAGCAGGGAAACTTAAATCCAGCCAGGGCTGCGGGGTGGG